AAATCTTTTAACAGCATGTTGGAAGTGTTAGGATTTTGTTTTTTTCTGAATCCTAGGGTTAAAAACCCCTGTATTCTTGATTTTGGGGCAAAGCTAGCAAAATGCTTGCTCTCCTTTTTTTTTAATTAAAAGAAACCTTAATTCTTGCTTCTTACTCTGGTAGCTTCCTTTTGCTTGAAGAGAGCATGAAAGCTATCATCTCAGCCATTGTTGATTGATTTTTTTTGTGGGAAAAGATTGCAAAATGATGATGAAGAACTGCAATTTTTTTTGGCTGTCTATATTGAACTAAGAACAATATTACCTGGTGTATGCTTGCTGGTTCGCCAAATCATTTGCATATTATTTTCATGACTGAGGTCATTCTGTTATTCAATTCTTCACAGGATACTGTTTTGCATAAGCTTTAAAATAACTACCACCAGAAAATTAGAATGAGGGAAGGGAAGATTAATTTAGTTTCCATTCATCTTCAGTTTCCAGATCTTTTATTATTTAGCTGGTTGTATTTTCAGATTGGACAGCTCAGTTTAGCAGTCTTTAAAACAAGACCCACCTATTTTGAAGGGACTTTTCTCTTTTAAATAAGTAGTTGGGATGGTTCACACCATTCAGATGCCTACCTAGGTATTTCTAGCCTCTAAGAAGGACTATTGTATTGCAAAAAATTAAAAATGTTTATGGTAACCTAACCAGCCTTATTTGAAAGTCCATTTTGTCATGTACAAAATCAGAATGCATATTTCTGGAAACTTTATTACTGAATATGAGGACATAACTTATTTATCAACATTAACCCCTGTTATCAAATGGTAAACTATGTTAAGGCACTCGTTATCTTGATTTGTTTCTTTTTCCTTTATTTCAAATGTAGCTTTGTAGACTGCCATCTCAGGTATATAAAGGTATTTCAGGAACTGTCTTACCTATTATACATTGCAAAAACAGGTTGGGTAGAAAATTGAAGATAAGGCACTAGGAAGTTGTCAAGATTTAAGTTGGTTTTGCTTTTCAAATAAACCCCCTCGGGAAAACTAGTATGACAGAAAAATAGGGCAGATAATTTTCCTAAGGATTGCTTCAGTCCAAAAGCCACAAACTCACACTTTGTAGATGTGCAAGTTCAATTGTTCTTGAGAGCATGAGGTAGGTTTTAAGGAGTTGTTGATAAAATGTTTTGCAATAGGCTTGGGAGTGCTGTCAACTCCTTAATTCAGGTGTGCATTTTCCTGTTGTAGCAGATCCCTTGAGTTTTTCCTGTAGCAGTATTTTTCCTGATCCTTTATAAAAGATTATGCATAATCAATACTATCTATTGTGACTTGTGAGGTAAGAGCATCTAGCTGACCTTGACTGATCTAGAAAAGCTGAGAGTTTAGTTCTTGGATGAGAGTCAACAAGGAAATGCAAACAACTGGCTGGAGAAAAAGGTGGAATCCCTTCTTTTCTACCCAGCATAAACCTGTAGTAGGCTATAGCAGAAGTGAAAGAAATCTGTGGTCTTTGCCAGCCTCCAAAATGATAATAAAAGAGGATTCAGTTTAGGAGCACAAAAGTGTTACTCTCCACTTTCTGTTTTCAAAGCAATATTCCAAGAATTTGTTCCACTCATTCATTAAATGTTATTCCATTACGAATTGTCCTCGACTTACAATTATAATTGAGCCCAACTGTTGCTAAGCAAGACATTGTTAAATGAGTTTGCTCCATTTTATGATCTTTCTTGCCACAGTTAAGTGAATCACTGCAGTTGTTAAGTTAGTAACATAATTTTTAAGTGTTAAGCGTCCCCAGTTGGAAAAGTTGATCATGTAACCCTGGAACATGGGCAGCCATCATAAATATGAGTTGGTTGCCAAATATCTGAATTTTGACCATGTGACCATGGAGATGCTACAACCGTCGTAAGTATTAAAATTGGTCATAAGTCACTTTTCTTGGTACCACTGTAACTTTGAACAGTCACTAAACAAATAGTTGTAAGTCGAGGACTATGAGTTTAGACAGTCCATTGCCAGTTGAGTCATCGTTTAGAGATAGTTCCACACTTTAAGAGAGAAATGACCACAGATGTGCAAAATAACAGGAGCAACTTCTGACGTCGTGTAGACTTCCCCATTAGGCTTTCTTTATAGGAAGCTGTAGGGAGCATTGGAAATGACAGTCACATGACAACAGTGACTCAGCAGTGCCCACTGTTTTTAATTTCAGGAATAATGCCTGCAAAATGTCCCCAGCTTCCCATTTCTGTTTGTATCCATGGCCTTTTCCTGTCATTCCATACACCATGAGTGCTTTTATGCACTGAATCACTGGGGATTCCCAGAAGGCAAATAATCATTTATTTTAAGAAAGGATATTTGCATCACAGCTCTTAAAAATGCTGCTTTAATTGCTATTCTTTTAGAAGTAGGGTGCGGTGTCTCTTTGTTTTGGCAGTGTCATGAAAACTAGTAAGCCAGTGTGTAGCCGGTAGCTAGAAGGAATGTCAGTGGTTCATGTGGTCACATCACAATCTGAAAAATATTACCTTGTAGTCATACATAAAAGGAGAGCAGGAAAAAAAGGAAATAATGTTTGTAAAGTACTAAGAAACAAGACTTGGTTCCTAAAGACATTTTGAAAATATTCTTCCCTGTGGATTGAGGTAGACCTTTGAAAAATCGAGTAAGGATGTAATAGTTATTCACATTTTTTTAAAATGCCACAAATTGATTCTTGGTATATATTGTATATATGGTAACTGAAAGGAGAAAGAAATTTACAATGAACAAAAAATGGGTAGCCATTATTAATATGCATGGAGTTCTATAGAAATCCAAGATTTAAAAAGTACTGGAAAACAAGCCACTCCAGTCATTTTGAATCTGATTAATCAAATTTCCAAATCATTGGATCTTCTGTCATAGACAGTTCCATCACATTATACATTTGGCCTCCTATATTTTAAAATAAGCAATTGGTTCAGTTGGAAAACTTCATTTGCTTCCAGGGGTGAGGGAGAATTTCTGTGCAGAAAACATTTATCTTTCTCATGCTTTCTTAAGTTTGAGGAAGGAATAAAAACTGAAGCAGATATTCAGAGTTCACCATGAGACATATTGAAAGTCCAATTTTGATTGTGATTTTAAAAAAAAATCTTAGAGATTTGACTCTTCTTTATTAGCATCTGTCAATCATTTTGCTTTAGGCAAATATCAACTGTCCAATGTAAAATACACTGGATTCCACTGGTCATAACATCAGGTAGGTATACTTGAAAGGTGTTGTAGCCTTGCTGAAGTTAAGCTATCTTTGTCCCAAAGGTGCTTTTTGAGAAGGCAACCGGACTTTGTTTTTCCTTGAAGACGTTTTGCTTCTTATTCAAGAAGCTTCTTCAGTTCTGATTGAATGGTGGAAGATGTAAGCATTTGTGTTCCTTGCAGTCATCTGGTCTGTAGCATTCTTTCTGAGAGTCACTGAGGCTTGGAGGTTTATCTGTGCCCTTAGAGTCACCTGAATAGTGCAAGTGGGTATGGAACTTTCTTGGAACTGCTGAAAGGACTGTTGTAGATAGGAAGTAGTGATATTATACCCCACCCCATTGAGAGAGAGCTGTTTAATTTTAACATGCATGAAGTCTTTGACCCCTCTTTCAGACCAGTGGTCCCCTCTGTCCACTATGTGGACTTTACTGTCTTCAAAAGACTGGCCTTTGTCTTTCAATAGACACTAAGCCATCCTTGCATGATTGATCAGCAAGTGAAAAATTATTTGATGTACCTGGTATAGCATCTCTTGAACTTCCACCATGGAATAAATCCATGTCTAGATAACCAATGTTCTGTGAATGTTCAGCAAGTATTAAACATTCATCAAATGGCTGAGTATTCAGTGTCACACTTTTCAAAAGAAAATTCTATCTCAGAATAAACTGAAAATGCAGATTTTCTTAGTCTTTGTTTACCTTTCCTTCACTCTCACAATGTTATATTTCCCTGTTTCTTAAACATTTCCCCGTGTACTGATTGCATTAACATTTGTTTCTACTTTTTACATAATCAAAATTCTGGGATTCAATTTTTAGTATATAAGTTAGTTTTTCCAATAGGGATACAATTCACTTGAGGATGATCTCAAGTTCATAATCTCTTCACTTACTGACCATTTTTAGGGCTTGTCTTATTTGAGCTACATGATGTGCAAATTTTAGCTGCCTGCTGCAATTTTGTAGATACATTTTTTAAAAAATATGCAGCTTGCTGAACTTCAAAATAAATTTGTATACCTCCAAAAATGAGCACAATGTTTCATTCTTATATTAAATTATTACATTGTGCATGACTAACATATCCTTGAGATACTCCTATTGATTACATCTGTGGTTCTCAACCATTTCTTCACCACGGACTTGCTTTAAGTACCTGTTGAGGCTACGGACCATGGCCATGGACCCCTAAGACTTAACTCAAGATTTAAATCATAACATTTTTCAAGCCTTCGTGGACCCCTGGATTACATCAAGAAGTTTTGGTCAACAATGAAAACTATTGCATAACCCTCTTTTTAATTGTCTACTTCCTACCTAGGGAGTATAAGTTGACTGGCTTGTGAACATGGATTTCCCCTTTCCTCAAGGTAGATTTGGTAATGAGTTGTCTTAACAGCAAAATGTCTGATGTTTGTATCACTGAAGTTTCAGAGTAGATCAGTAACACCCAAATTTAGACTCAATCAGTCAAAGAGCCAAGAGTGTCCTGAAATCAACCCTTTTGTGTCAATCTGTGCACATCACAAGGTTCTTGTGAGAATTAAATGGGGTGACTAGTAAGTAGGGAAGACCACAGATGCAGCTCAAAACACTGGCAGAAATATCGGATACAGGTATAATAATCGTTCTTGGAAGACCAGTTTTGATCAGAAATCCTCTGTTAACAATTCAGAATATCATTTTGCCTCCTTTGCTGATTTCGGTATCTGTTTTCCCTCATTTGTGTGTGTGTTGTGTTCTTTCTCCGCAGTGCCCTTAAAGATAGCAGATTTCCCCCAATGACGAGGGATGAACTGCCACGGCTTTTCTGCTCAGTGTCTCTACTTACTAATTTTGAAGATGTCTGTGATTATTTGGATTGGGAGGTAAGGAACCTCTAATTTTTGCACATTTCATGGAGTGACGTTTCTCCATTCTTGATCACTGAACAGCCTAGAAATTTGTCTGGAACTTGTTTGCAATGGGGGTCTGTTGTACTGCAAGAGTGTGAAACAGCAAGGGGTGGGGGGGATGCTCTCCTTGATCCAGTGAAAATGATCTCCAGAAGAACCAGACCATTAATATCCAACCCTGAATTCTACCCTTCTTCATTCTGTGAAAGTGTGTTCCCATTTTGATTTTCCTGGTGGCTGCCCATTTGTTGAAGTTACTGTCCCAATGAAAACAATGAATTTTCAGTGGTAAATTCAGGTTCATGTTACATTGCCAGAAGGTGGGGACATGAAATGGAACATCTATATGTATTAAAAACAAAAATTTAGGCTTAAAAAAAAGGAACATAAAGATTCTAGCCCAGCCTTCTCACAAATATGCTATTTTATGATATGTGGGACAATTTTTTCCTCATGAGAAATGTGCAAGCCTGAACACAGGCTTAACATTTCCCTGAAAATAAAGCTTTAAAATAAATTTAATCAAATGAAACCAAAAAGGATCATGTAGCAATCTCTTTATCACTTCCATTTTCAACTCTGTTTGGAGCACAGCAGCTCCCACACGCGCACTTATTATTAAAAACCCTACTTGAAGCTTTACAAATTTAAAATATTTGCAGAGCAAGAGGAATTCTCAAAAATTGACCTTGCCAACAAATTTGCAATGGGCATCTTGGTAATTTCAACAATAATGGGTCTTTGACCATCCCAGTGTGCCACTCAAATTCCAGTATTCTACCTTGATCCCATAAGCTCTAGAGCAGAGCTATGGAGGTTTGCGTATGTGGACGTGTAACATTTCCATGTCAATCTAGTTTCAGAATGGCCATATCTATAGCAATCTGCGTTCATTTTTAAGTTCGTAAAAGTGAAGGCAGCCTCTGAGAAGGTCAGTTGAGCAAGAGTAGTTGGAATTGTAGAAGACGAGAGAGAAGTGTAGCCTTCACAAATCATTCCAAATGGCAGGAACACAGCTAGTTCCCTGAGCTTCCTCCATACCAACCAGGGCCTCTCAAGAGTTGCTGGAATTGGCAAAAAAGTTTTGTCCCATCCAGTATCCTTTAGCTTTTGTGTGGAGCTAAAACTCAAAGACTATTTGGCCACCCTAGCCTGCCTTACACAACAGGGTTGGAACAACATCTGTCAAGGCTCCCAGATCACACAACCATGTTGGTCCAGAGCTCACCATTTTAGCAACTTGAGGAAGTTGAAAGTGGTAACATTAGGACACTATAAGTATTAGATTTTTTTTTTGTTTGTTAAAGAAAGACAGAGGCTGAAACGTTGGACTGTGCCCACAATAAAAGTAGGATTTCTCTCCTTTTTCTTCTTTTTAAACTGCTGAAGCAAACATACTACGGGGTTGTTGTTTTTCAGAGCTGACAAATAATCACCCTCATAGCATTTTGCATGCAACTCTGAATTGGCTGCTCAGACTGAATTACTCCTCACTTGTGAATTGCCACTTGCTTGGTTTCTGAATTAGAATACATCTAAAGCTTTAGAGATTTATTTTAAATCCCAGTCTGGTTACAGAAAACACTAAGGAACTCCTCTTGGTGTTAGTTATGTCCCCTACTATTTGATAGTTATTTCATTGTGAATGATACAAGGCAACACGCCTTTGCAAAAATGCATGCCTGAGGTTTCCAAATAGTCACAATGTGGCTTCAGCTCAGTCCACCATATCTATTATCTCCTGGGATGTACGGCTTAAATAAATACAAGAGTATAAATTTAAGTCCAGCTCTTTGTGTGCAAAATCTGGGACTTTTCCATTCCATTGCCAACTGTCTATATGATATATAACTCAGCAGCTGAATATCTCCTGCACAAAGCAAAGGACCATAGGTATTTATAGATGGCTGTGTAACAGGCCCACAAGGGAATAGCAGCCTTTTTATATCTTTACAATTCTAATGATAGTTGGCTAAATAGTTTGTTTTGTTTTGTTTAGAACACTTGCTTTTGGGGGAAACATGTTTCTCTAGATTAAATCCTTGATAGTCTCAATAAAGGGAAAGGGAGGAGAGGATTGAATTGAATGTTGGGGTAAATCTACACGCTACTTCCAAATGCAAAAGAATAAAGGACTCTCCTTTAGCATCCACAGAAAATACGATATTGTAGGGCCCTTTCTGCCCTACAAGCTTATTTCCCATTTTGAAACCTAGATATTTTTTGGGGGGGGGGGGCGTTGTGGAAACAAAACAAAAGAATATTGTCTTGGGTGACATTGGACATTGAGGTTGGGAACAAGACAACAACTTTGTTGGATTTTTAAAGAATGGAAAACCAGATCTTGCAGGTTCACCATTGGTAGAATAATTGTGTCATTTTTCCTTGCATTTTGTTGATTAGAAATAAAAGCTAGGTAACAACAGCAGAGAGGCGACGCATCCTCACCCAGCGGTTCCAATTAAGACACCACCTTTGCTTAATTTTGCATTCCTTCACACTGCAACAATGGCAAGAAAATAATGCAGAACTTAAAAGTCTATTTTTTGGTGAAATCCTTGATGCTCTCTGAGTTTGATTGTTATCATCGGCAGATGATATTACATAACTATGCAACGAAATATCTGCAAGAAAACCACCAGCTCAGATCACCAAGGACCCCACAGTTCAACCCTGAGCTCCAAATATTCTCTTCTAGTGGGGCCATTTTGTTTTAATAGTTAAAGCTGGAGAGCTGAGAGAAGAACCAAGATGAGTCGTCGTCTTCTCACTGTTCCAGGGGGATACATCATTTTCAAAGGCTTAGTTTTCTAAATGGGAATTTGGGCTTTCAGTTTGACTCGGAAGGGTTTTTTTTTTAAAAAAAATTAAAGTATTTCCCATTACATTTATTTCATGGCTCCATAAATAAGGAGATAGGAGAGTAGGGTTTTATTGAAATGTTGGATCCTTGAAAGAGTAATGCGTCACTGTATTTGGCCCTTACAGTGAGACCGCTTATATCATCCATGTTTCTTTTAAGGGGGACTGCAGTTATGCAATGTGAATGGCAAAAAGTCATTTCAAGATGGCTAGAATATGACCTAAAGAGAGAATGTGGTTCTTCCACCTGGTATAACTGCTCATTTCCAGATCATCCTGAAAGGCCATCCGCCCGGTTAGGAGACCTTACTTCTGTAGGTATGCTATTGATGATCTTGTGGGAGCTAATCCAGCAATTTGCTAATCAATGCCAAACGTTTCCCAAATTCCAAATGTTCTCCAGAGCCCACCGTGCTCCTACGGTTGGACAGCCTGATCTGGCTAAGGGAGGAGGGGATATCAGTGGTCTTCTGCTTGAGGGTCTCTCAGCTGGCTCCAAGTGGTCTTTTCTCCCAAGAGAAGGAATTTCGAAGAGAGGGATGAGTGAATTGCCTGCCATTAGCTTCCACATGGTTTTTCAAATTGCTGCCATTTTTCACTTGTTGTTTAATTATACTTTGCACATTTCTCTAGCCACTTGCCCCGAGGGCCACCTGGGATCATAGAGTGCAAATAAAGACCTTCCATTTGGTCCATTCATCCTTCCATAGCATGGCTATGTGTGACTTGCTCTGCTCATCAGCTCACACTACCTGTGGCTTTTTTATAAGGATGGGGGCACAAGGTTCCAGCAAAAGTTCCTTCCCTAAGACTGTCCCACAAATTTTGTCAGGGTGTAACATAAAGGAGGCTCATGGCAGATGATGGTGTGAAAGTTGCAGTGCCCCACATCATTTTTAATTAGCCTTTGTATCTAAGCACTGTTCAGTGGCCATTGCATTGCACACATTTTCTATGTAGAAGACGACCCTGAGTAGAGTACCTGAGTGACTTGCATCTCCAAACACACTTAGAATCTTGGGAAACCACCCACAGTCTGTTTAGGCAAAATCAACCTACTACAGTATTTGCTTTCATTCTGTAGGTTGTTTTTCAGCTACTGCAAATATATATTTTTGAATCTGCTGCTATTTTTCACCAGATGACTTTGTCTCAGATAACTGGATAGTTTTCTGTAGAGCCAAATGCTGACCTAGATTTCCATAGGACTCCTATGGCATCCATTATGGACTCCTCTCCCCTTTCTAACCCTTTTCCTTTTTCCTGAGGGTCCAAAATGTCCATTTTCCCCTTCTGTCATCCAGCAAAGCCCCTTCCTGAATTAAAATGTAGCCCTTTTTGTCACAGGCTCTGAAGCTCTCTCTTCTCAAGCATATGAAATGTATGTGTGCAGGTATGAAAGGCCATAGAGAATTATTATTTTCTTCCTTGCATTAATAACTTGACATGTTTGGCTTAGCTGGATAGTACATACATGGATCCAACAACTCGCTGACTTTCTGCCAAGTGAATTTTGCTCTGACTGATGAAGTTGCTAGGATGAGCAATGAAACATCTCAAGTTTAATAAAGTTTGGTCCAGTTGCCATGATTCAACCTTTAAACACCTTGGCCTGGATGATTGAGATTTCATTGATATACATGGATTAGGTTGTTGCTTGAACAACATTGTATTGTATTGGGTGACAATCTAAACTAAGGGATCTAAACTTAGATCTACAATCTAAACTAACTAATCTAAACTTATTCAATCTGAGTGTGAATTTTAGGAATGTGTCTCTCCCCCCGCCCCTAAAATATCAAACAGGTAGCCCTCAACTAACTAACTTACTTACTTTCTTTCTTTCTTTCTTTCTTTCTTTCTTTCTTTCTTTCTTTCTTTCTTTCTTTCTTTCTTTCTTTCTTTCTTTCTTTCGTCAATTGCTTACAAGATAATAGTTATTAATAAAATCTTAGTTATGAATACATGGATACATATAAGAAAAAATAAAAGAAACAAAAGGACAGGGACAGTAGGCACGTTGGTGCGCTTATACACGCCCCCTACAGACCTCTTAGGAAAAGGGTGAGGTCAGTAGTAGACAGTCTAAGGTTAAAGTTTTTGGGGTTTGG